CAGTAAAGAAAACGTGAGAGGTCAGCGCTCGCCTTCAGACGCCAGGACAGTGCACTAGGTTGTGATGAGGAAGGGGGGGGCGGGGAGGATAAATGAAGCAACGAATCGTGAGGTGAGGATATTGATTGATAAATAAACTCTGGAAGTGTGGTGAAGAGCTCGTGTGCGTCAAAAGTGATGTCGCGCAGTTCAGTGAGAAGGAAGGAGAAGACAGCAAGTGGCGAATGGTAAAAAAGTGTGTGAAAAGTGGAGAGAAGACGAGACTGGTGAGAGGAAAGAGATATTGTTGAGAATAAAATCTGAAAAAAAAGGGAGATAAGTGACCATAGACTCGTGTGTATTGTGAAAATTAAGGGCAGGTTTGAAATTAATAGGTTTTTGGCGGATGAAATGTGAGCTTACATTCTAGAACATTTAATAGAATGTGATTTTCACAATTGTTAATTTTTGAAGTATGTACTTCTATTCAGTAGAATCTAGAATTTAATAGAAATGTAAAATTAAAACCACTGAAGCTCGAAAAGAGTAAATCAAGACATGACCGTAACACGTGTGATTTTTAAGAAGCCAACAAAACTGGTATTAATGTATAGGACCACAGGCAGGGCGCCATGTTACTCAACTACAAAAAAAACACAAACCACTGTTTTGAGCCACATAACATGATCAGCTCACCAAGAACAAGGGAGAAGGCATGTGGTGCAACCTAATGTATCTGATGTGCTGGCCCAACTATGTAATTCAAAGTGCACAGGGGTTTATAGGGAATTAACTTCGTCAAGCTTCAAAACGCCTCGGTGTGTCAGTATCAATTGTATTTGCCCGTCATATGTAACCTGGCTGTGCGCGGATGTGGGTTCATTCGCCGCGAAACTGTCAGTTCGCCATGCAGCGCAGCTGCAGACAAAATTAGAACGGTCACCACTGGTTTCGCTTGGGCCTGTCTGTCCCGTGCAGTGAAGATCCATCAGGTCGCTGTAAGCGTCTGCTGAACCGCAGCTGTCTGCAGTGCGAGCAGGTTTGGCCTGCTCTGTGGGACTTTTGGAGGCAACTTGAGGTCTACTGTCCAAGCAAGCCCGACCATCCCCTCACTCACACAGACACCAAACGACGCACACACGCAACACAACACACACCCCGTTTATTAATCCATCCAGGGTACTACTTGTACTTGTCTAAGTAATGAGATAAGAGTAAATAGGGAGGTTGTTGCTTATACGTTTGATACACACATTGTAAATAAAGTCTACATTTATAGAGTTTTTTAGTACAGGTGAGATGAACTATGTAATATCCATTTAAAATCACAGATGTAGCATTGTCATTTATGTCCAGTATGCTTGGGAAGACTGCAGATGAGAATCCATGGTAAGTGACCTTTTGAATAGACCTTGTTCACAGCAGCCATTTTCGACTGACTGAAAGTTTAAGTTGAGCGTGTAATAGGAACCTCCAGGAATCTAGAATTGTTGGGTCTGTTAGTACTCGAATCGCATTATATGGAATCTGGACCAGCAGAAGAGCATACCAAATGTGTCCCACACCACACAGCAGGAGGGGCAAAACATAAAAGTCAATTATTATCATTAATTTTATTTGAATCCAAGTTGGGCTGCAACTAACAATTAT